TTTTTTAAAAAAAAAAAATAAATAAAATAAATAATAAGCAACAAAGTGCTTAAGCAGACAAACCAGCAAGTTACGTAATACAAGTATAATTCAAAAGTTTGGTCGAAAGAATCGACAAATAAGCAGCAATTGGAATTAGAAGTGACGAAAATAAGCGTAGGGATCTACAATTAAACGATAAAGAAATTAAGTAATCATGACAAAGTCTGTCATAAGAATCAACACTCAAATAATAGGATAATAGAACACAAACGTTATAAAATCGGAAAAATTATCCAAGTGACAGACTTTTTGCAAAAACTGACATACAAACTTTAGCGTAACAACCACTTGAAAAATAATTAGTAATCAAACATATCGGCATAACTGAAGACACAACTATCCTACTTAAAAAGAAAATTGAACTTTTATTCTTCATCTTTTTCAATTTACCCAACATAACACAAACCTATTTATTACAAAAAAAACCCTTAACTTATAAACTTACAACCATAAAGGAGCGAAAATTTACTACAAAGAAAATTTTTTTCCTCTTTTTTTATTTACAATTACTCAAACTGAATGAACAAAAGAACTCCATGAGCACTAAGAGCGTAAAGAGCATTTTTGGTCTTGGAATACAAGAATCTAAACAATTATTCTCACCACCGGAATACATTGAAGTAAAAGCAAGTTTTATAACAGTAAAAGCATCTGAGAAGAAGGAAGCAATAATGAACCCATCACAACTACAATTACTACAGGATAAATTCTCCCAACAATTTGAAGATGTAACAAAACGAATTATTAAAGCCAACACTCCTGAAAAAAAAGAATTTCATATTAATTAGGAAGTTTTATGGAAGAAAAGACAAAAACTCGATCGAATGGCTCGAAGCATTCGAACAAACTGCAGAAACAAATAATTGGACCAAAGAAAAAAGAATAACAATTGCTGCCAGATATCTTAGTGACCTAGCAGCAGACTGGTATCGAGAAAACAAAGCAAAAATTAAACAGTGAAATAATAAAAATAACCCAGATGAAAGTTTTTTCTATTCACTTTCTTAATTCTTTGCAACATCTGACCAACACCACTGTTGGCAAATAGAACTAAATGTGTTAACACAAAAACCAGGCAAAAAAATCAACTCATATGCCACAAAATTCAAATGACTTCTGCGTAGAGTTGAAACTAGTGGAAAGCTACCTG